CATTAACTTTTTGGATAAGGGATCAGCACACTGCCAGCACGGGCAGAATCTGGTACTTATTAATCAGAAGCCCTCCTGGCTCATGTGGTATCACAGGGTGATGTCTCCAAGGACTTTAGCAGGAGAGCCATAGCACAAGACAATCACCCCAGAATTATGCCCCCTGACCCCCAAATTCCAGGGACACAGCACCTCTGTTCCAACACTGAACAGCATAGGCTGGCCCCTCCAGTTCCTCAGAGCCGAGTGGGATTGGTATGCAGGAAAGTGCCCTCTCTGCTTTTGGGGGGTTGGGCTGAGCACAGGGAGAAATATTAAAGGCACAACAGAGCCAGACAGCACACAGCAGGGATACCAGTCTTGTGTTAAAACTATACTTAATAGTTTAGTAGCTCATCCATTTAGATTCATTTTATCACCACAGTATCATATGCTCCTCACTGCTCATTAAGATTATCATTAATAGAGATCTGCAAGAGCAGATAGAACAGACTTCTGTAGTGCCACAGGAAAAAAGATAAAAATCAATAACACAAATCATATTCAGGGATTAGGGACAGAAGAGAAGTCTGGCAAAAACAAAAAAGAAAGAGCAAGTGAGCATGAGAGAAGAGAACTGTGTTTTATCCAAGAAAACAATAAAAAAGGCAGATGAGTTCAGATATAATTTAAACAAAGCTTTTGACAAAGCTGCTGGTTTCCTTTGTTTTCTTTCAAGTTAAGTCACTGCCCTGTTTCAAGTGGAGCAACAGTGAGTTGTGCTGCTCAGAGAGAAGGAAGAGGGCAGATGCCATACGTACCCCCAGTGACAAGAAAGCACACTTTCCCCAAGAAGAAGCTGGCATCCACATGAGCTAGGGAAGCTTCAATATTCTTTAAGCTGTCAGAAAAGCACAGACAATTCAGTTGGACAGAGAGGTAAAACCAGTGCCACATAAAGACAAAGGGAATAACTTTCAGAAGCACAATTAGAAAACCAATGATGTTAACATCTGCTGATCGGTGAGCCAGCAGTCATGCTCTATGCTAAAAGCATGGCAGCTGAGACCTCTGTAATACCCACAGCTGTTTAATAATCCATAACGTATCCTTTCTACCCAAGACTCAACAGTCAGGCTTAGTTTCAACAGTGTCCTCCATGATTTGTGAACACTAAGCATCTGAATTCATTAACATCCAACGAGACTTCAGTGCTACTTTGGCTCTTTCAGAAGAGCTAGCCCACACATTTCTGCAGCACCATCTGTGCTGTAAGTATGCAGCTGGGCCTGCCATTTTTGGTAAATGAGAGCCCAGGATCATCAGTTATAAGTTAAATAAGTAATAAAATGCTGACTTTTGTGCCTTAGCAAGTCTTTACTTGTGACCTGGGAACACAACTATTTCTACAAAGATGAGCACAAGATGAGAGAAAAGGGATCAATCCCTGCAAATCTTTCTCTTTTGCCTAGAGACATCCGAGTGCTGATCCCACTTGACCAGTGGCATTAGTGAACTGGGACACAGAAGCAGCAACTGGCTGGTTATTAGGTAGCACTGCCCAGCGTGCATCAGCCACCTGCACATTGCAGAACTTAACAGCATCACCGTAATTTCCATATAATATTACAGACAGCATCTTTCCAAAGCTCAGTTCATATCATCCCATGTCTGGATCCAGAAATAAATCCTGCCTTCTCTGCTATGGCAACTTAGTGCCCAACAGGTACGTTACTGGACAGGGCGGTTCAGTCCTAATCCATTGCTGAGGGCCAGAAACCCCCTGTATGTATGACTGATCTCTCCCACCAGCAGCAAGTGTTGGGTTTGAAATCAACTAGTCAGCAATTCTGACACAGTAAAAATGTAGATTTAGCCATCAGTCCAAGAAAGAATATCAGTTTCCCGCCCCTCATATTGTTGCCCTTCTTTTACCTGTATTTGCTCTTGATGTCAATCATAAACACAATCAGATCTATCCTGGGCCGCAGGTGATCCCTCTCTGAAGGTAAGGGGAGGGATGTGGCAAGGTGACTGAAAGATAATTAATGTGACAGTTTAACCAAACAGCTTGGCAAGGCAGTATCCACTTAACACAACCACATCACCACTGCTGTTCACCATGTAGCAACTTACCAGGAAGCCCACTAATCACTGAATGCATAGGCACTGAAGAGACACCGAATGCGATTCTTTAAGTGGTATTCTCCTATCTTAAGCCTACTCATAGCTGCTGACAGCCACAGTGACACTTGCTAGACAAGGCTGTTCATAATGGGAAGTTTATTAGAGCATAACAAGACTCACAGAAACATTTTCTCTGCACAGATCTATATGGCAGTAATTTTATGTAATTGCTAAGAAGAGTCCTTTCTAACAAAGTGAACCCCAATGCTTTACTGGCATATTTTGCTGCCAGTAAGTTTCAGTTCAGATGTGTCAGTGCTTTCCTCTCACATTCCAGATACTGCTCATACTCTCACTCAGGAGAGGCTACCTCTCAGGTGTCCATGTTACAGAAAGGTGTCTTGTATTCACAAAACCTTAAACCAGGAATTTATCACTAGTATAGCTTTATAGATGAAGTTAAAACTCAGAAAGAGTTTCTATTATACCATTACCCCACTTTTATCCCTTTCCCTGTGTCAGGAGGTAGTTAAGGTGTCCTACACAATACCCCCACCGCTGACACAGCTCTTGGAATAAAGATTACTGGGTGAGGACTTTTTGTGTCTCTTCCCACTAACAAAAAAAAAAAAAGGGGGGGGGGGGTGGGCTAAAAAGGGCTTCAGTAGTGCATATCTGGGCCTTCCACACAGTAGAATATTATCAGCACCATATTTTTGAAAGACCATATGAAAGATAGATTGAACAAACAAAAATCCCAGAAATTCAGTCTTTCACAATCCACTTCCCCTCGGGGAGCCAAGAAACAAACACCGATTTTGATCTCCTTAGTGGATATTACTTCTAGCAATTAAATCTTAAGGACTTAACAGTTTTCCCCAGCAGCCACAGATCACGGTACACATTCCCTTCTATTAACCATATTTTGTCTGTCAGTCTCCAAATAAAGGTGTTTTGCTTCCTACAAATAAGGAAGGTAGGATTTAAAACACACATTCTGAAACTAACACAAGATATGTGCAAAATATACTTGAGAGACACACAGCAAGACAAACAAGCTTTTAAATTTAAGGTGAAATTTAGGGAGAAAGTGTGGTGAAAGTAAAGTATCAGATTACATTGTCTGGGGGGAAAAAAAAAACAAACCACAAACCCTGAAAAACTTCCATGATTTGGAATTCTACTATCTTTAAACCAACATTACTAGATGATGTCAGCAGCCTCCAGATATGTGCTGCAGAAGTTTTTTTGTTTTTTCCTAGTGGTAAGAGACACAAAAACCCCAGCCCTGCAGTTCTTCTCCCAACAGCTGTACCTGGTTGGTAGACTTGTCAGACAAGATAGCATATTTCTTTGTAATATGTATAATCCCAAAGCAACACAGTGGGGGAGAAAACTGTCACAGACTTCTGCTTCCCTAGTGATATTAGTGCAGGGGGTTATCTTGCTCTGTAGTAAAGTATAAGTTTCTGTGCCTTTGGGTAGTTATCCAGCTGTAGCACTAGTAGCCATCTAGTTATGGCACTCCACAGCTCAGCAGAGGCTGCAGGATTTGCATAGAAAACTGGGTAATTAGTTTACTATTAGCACAAACATCCAAGGAGCCATGATTGCATGATCAGAGCAGTACAGTTGCTCCAACTGGCTAGTAGAACATTAACTTGAGGGTATCTTTACAGCACAGCCTTTGATTGCAGCAGTGACAAAGCACAAACACCTCCTGAAGAGCTGACTAAACTCATTCAGTCTTGGCAAGAGAGCTGCCAAGGACATTACATCATAAAAAGTTAGTTAATCAAGGTTTGAAGGGGGGACTTATCATGCAGCTAAAGTTAAAATTCAAAACGCATCTTAAAAGCTTGAGGAGGAAAAGCACGTGGGTGCATACAAGGCAGAAAACAGCCATAAAGAGCATCAAAAGCAACGAGCATCTCTCAGGAAAACCTGTTTGCTCTCAAGCCGTTGCAAGCATCGTACTTGTCCCGGTCTGTCCCCGGACGGTTAATTCCTGCACGTGTCTGTCTCCCCGGAGAAATAACAAACATACCTGTGCTCTTCTCATATCCTTGCAATGTATCCATCAATCACCTGCGCAGCGTGCAGAGGGCAGCGGTGTGTGCACAGCCAGCGTGACGGCTGTGAGAACTGCTCCCCCCATTTCTCGTCCCGCCCGAGC